TCCGGAAAGTTTTCTCAGATGAGTAGTTTTTCGAGCTGAGAGAAACGCACCAGAAGAGGTCTAGTGGTTCTCATGGCCGTATCTTTCCAGCTACTCTCATTCTCTATATGTTCGTGGTTTTGTATATATTCATGTCACTCATCAATTGCCCTGCTTCGCATCAAACACAGTGTGTGGTGGATGTGACTGAGAACGCGCGCATATTCCGAGAGCTTTTAAGAGCGGTGCAGTACTTGCACAGTCTGGACACAATCCACAGAGACTTAAAGGTATGTGGTTATACTTTGGTCATTGCGCGAGATATTTCTTGAATGTGAGTGGTTTGTTATTGGCCATTATATAGTATGGAAAATATCAAGGTGTGTATTATTTATTTGTTGGCATGGTGAATATGAGATGAGGGTGCGTGGTTATGTATTGGTTGTTTGGAGTGATATGATTATCAGTCTAGTTGGGGTTTCGGGTTTGTGATTGATGGACTATTGTTAGATTTGGAAAATGGGTTGACTGCCAAGCGAAATGGACTGTGACAAAAAGAGTTGTGTATTTGGGTCGTAGTTGGATATTCTGATAATATGAATTCCTTGTCTCTCATCTGAATAATTATATACGTAAATGTCAATATACATACATAATCAGATACCCGATAGTTTGAAAATTCGTATGTATACTCTATGTAGTTGCGATTATGTTGGGTAATATATAGACCTGCGGTTGAACATATAAAACAAAAACTTATGTCAATTGGGAAATGCGTTCGTACTGCTCGGGTGTTGGCATGCCAACTGCCAAAAATAGCCATACGTGTTTCTAAATCTCAATTTATTTCGATCACCCATGAATAAGTAAGTAATCCCAGAACTGAAGTAACTATTACAAACCCACTTCAATCATCATTAGCATGGTAACTCTATCTGTAATCAAACTAACTACTCCGAACTAATATGATCCATTTCAGCCTGGCAATATTTTTTTAGATGGCGAGGCTCGTACAGTTAAAGTTGGCGATCTCGGACTCGTGACGAAATGTGTGGACGCAGAGTCCCAACGTAAGTTTTAGGGTTTTGAGATTCTGGAGGGTTTATGGTTCAGAATTTACAGTTGTACTCCCCGCGCAGATGACTCTTGGATTCTTATTAATTTACATTATTGGTTTCTCGATTATATATAAAT